GTGATAGTCAATTTCCACAGTCCACCCTTAGCAGTTAAGACTAATGACTCAGCTCTTTTCCCACTATCATGATTTTTGCCTTATGAATTGCATATTATTTGCACATGTACATTGGGTTTTCCATTTCGGATTTGTTCCTTTTCTGCCTCTCTTCCTCTTCATTCAAATTGGGTAATTGGTGTTTTATCATCGGAAGTTTCATCTCTCCTATTTTTTCTCATCTTTTCAGTTATATATATATATATATATATATATATATATATATATATATATATATATATATCGATCTCTAATAACATCTCTTTCTTGTGTGCAAAGAACTCCTACTCACTCAGATCATTAGCTTCCTTCTTCTTCACATTCTTGGCACATATACATGTATATGTGATTGTTTCCAATGGTGGATAAGCAAGAACACAGGTCAATACTCAAGGGACGTGGAATCGGAACACTATGGGTAAAGGTGAAGATTCCAAAAGAGGAACAAGTAATTGAAGATCATGACTATAAAGATGAAGATAAAGTTCAGATTCAGAGGAAGAATAATACTCCTAGTAGGAATATATGTCATGTGTGCAACAAAGGGTTTAGCTCAGGTAAAGCTTTAGGGGGTCACATGAGAATTCACGCTCAACCTGCAGCTAACAAAGGAATAAAAAAGCGTAAAGGATTATTGGACCAACCCATTCCGTTGTTCAATAAACGAAAACTACAGATGAAGCAACAAGAAGTTGATATTTTGAGGAAGAAGAAAATGGGCCGAAATCAACGGCCACCAATTACTTGTTCAATTTGTGGTAAGAAATTCGCATCAAAGAAATCATTGTTTGGGCATATGAGGTGTCATCCTGATAGGGATTGGAGAGGAATTCACCCTCCTCCCACTGATTTATCAAAGGCTGTAGGTAGTTGGTCAGTTACTGCTAAGAGAGGCCGCAGGACAAATTCTTCATCATCATCATCAGAAGAGGAACAATTACGCGATGGCGTTCATTATCTTATGCTGCTAGCCCATGGACATTCACTTAAAGATACAGGGAAATTGGAAACCATGAATAGCAATTACAAGACTGCTGACGAGGCTGATCATCTCGTTTCTATAACTAAGAAGAGCACAATCTGTCGGCCGATAAAGAAGAGGATGAAGAAGTTAAAGGATTTAGGGTCCATACAAGATGTTTCCATTTATAACACAGTAATTTCTACAGCTGCTACTAGCAGCTCAACAAATAATATTACTACTACAATGGATGATCATGAGCCTCAACTATCATCATCAAGTCAAATTTCTTGTGTTAGAAATAATAATACTAGTAGCAGAATTCTGGATTTTGATCTGAATGAATTGCCCCTTCCTTCCTGAAGATGATATTCAAGCTGCTGCCAGTGCCAGTAATCATGGGTCGGGTGATTAATTCTCACCTAACTGTTAACTTCTATATATAGTAGCCGGTAATTAGGAGCAATACTAGTACTAAGTGACAAGAACTTTTGGCGTACGTGTTTCATATTTCACTTTAACTCGTCTTTAATTAGCTTTCAGTACGTAGTGGTTAATTGCCTAGTCAAAAAACTTCTTACTTCTCTCCGTGATTATTTTCCCTTTTATCTGCACCTCTTTAATGGAATTTCCTTCAAAAGTACAATGAATTTTTGCTAATTAATAACCTTAAAGCTTGAGACCATTAAATTTAAATCCATATCTGATAGTAAAACTGGTCTGTTGTCCATAGGAAGATACCAAGAATAAATATCCTCTCACGCGTACTTGGAATGCTTTCACGGCTAATTCTTCTCAAGTCTTCCTTTGGAGTGAAAACTCAACACGTTTTAGTGGAGGTCCAGAACGGAGATTAGTCATCGGCCTTATTTGAGAATCAAATAAATAATTACTCCCTCCTTCCTTCAAATAGACCGCCACTTTCTGGTCAGCTGCGGTTCGGCTCGTTACGGCTTCAGCCCGGGCATCCACAACCTCGGCCTTTATCTTCAAAAGCTCGGACTCGAGCTTCGTAATCATATCTGTCCGTACCAAGCTATTATCACGAACTAAGCGAAGTTGAACCTCAGAAGCGGAGGCTTTAGCCAGAGCACCCTTCCCCGCAGAAGCCTGAGCGTCCGCCTGAGCCTTTAACTCATCATACTCGCGCTTGGCTCGGCCAACTTCGTTCCGAAGGCGCTCCAGGTCCTCCGTCTTTTTCTGCAACTGAAATAAACTCCACAGGGATAATATCAACGGTCCATATTCGAACGAATCGACTCATCCACTCCTGATCTCCGTCTTCTTCATCATCAACAACAAAAGGTGTGGCCGACCGGCATCGTAAGGTTAGCAGACCTCGATGGTGAAAAGGTCGGTACAGCCTGATAAGATGACTGAGCGTTAATTCAAGCCCTGCCTTCTCCGCAAAGAACCTCATCATCAATACTATCCACCAAAATGATGGATGAATCTGCGCTAAGGTGACCCAGTATTTCTGACAGAAATCAAGCACGACCCTATCAGGGGAGCCTAGCGTGAAGGGGTACGTGTACACGTTCAAAAATCCCTCGGCATGGTCCATGATGCTCTCCTCCGGGGGAGGTACCCACCATGCTACCTTTTGCCCCCATCCACAGTCCTTCATCACCAACTCAAGGTGCTCCTCTCCTATTAAAGAAATGAACTTCGAGGCATAATCCCGATAACCTCGAATGTTGGGAGTCTCTTCTGGCGGGAGATTCCCTCCCTAAGCAAAGCGCCCAGAGGCGGAGCTCTTTTCTCCTTGCCGAGCGTATTCGGGCATAGCAGCCATGGCTATAGTAAAACGAAGGAAGGGAAAATGAAGACTTGGGTGAAAGCTTTGAGTAAAAGGAAAATTGGCGCAAGAAAGGAGAACTCTATGAGAGGGGATAACTGCTCAGAATAGCGGAATCTCCAAAAGGGCGAAGACAACCCTATATATGGGAAAAACGGCGACCGCCTGCCTACCCCAAAGGCCGACTAGAAATATTGGCTAAAGCTTTTATCGCTTTCGAAAGATACACCGGCAGAATCGCCTCGGCCATTTCGTAACCATGTCCTACACTCGACGTCACCATACGACGCTTCAAGGTCGAAGACCGCGCGTCAACCAAGTCCCGAGGTGGTACCCGAGCTCGAGGACCTCCATAAAAAAGAAGTTAGGCTCCAAAAAACTGTTGGCATCAGTGCAAGTCCCGAGGTGGTACCCGACCTCGAGGACCTCTATCTAAAAGAAGACAGGCTCCAAGTAAACCATTGACATCATTACAAGTCCCGAGATGGTACCCGATCTCGAGGGCTCTTCTCAAGAAGAAAATAAGCGCTTAAACCCTACTCATATGGATTTGGTCCCGGGGTACCATCTAGATTGGGATCTATCTACAACGCCTTAAAGTTATCTACACTAAGTTCGAAACGAGTTCCCAGGTGGCCCGGGTTCGAGCGAACCCCCACTGGGGGACTGCTCTCGAAAGCCTAAAGGCAGTCTCTATTCTCGGACCTTCGAGCAAAATCCCCCCTCAAAGCTTACCGCCAGGTCCGAAGGCCAAGCCTCAGTCCAAGGATTCGAAGCCCTACTCTCATTCAACTCAAAGCCAGGGTCCCGGCGACCCAAGTTTATCAGTCCAATCCGGGCTCGGTCCAAGGAACGGCAGAGGATTCTGCGGGGAGCCGCATCGAGTAAGAAGGGTCAAAAGAAACACTCACCCCGGGCTCGAGATTTGTACCGATCAGTGGGGTCACACACTCAGATTCTCCGCAAGCGTGGTTAAAGGGGAATATAGCATACATCAGAAACAACTTGAAGGAACATCTTTGTATTCATAAACACTTGATTACAAAAGCCCACGAAGGGTCCTTACATATGATTACAACAGCCCACGAAGGGTCCTTACACAGAAACAAAGAAGCAAAAGAAAATACATTCAATGAAAGCCAAGAGTCTAAGCTGTTCTCGGGGGTATATTCTCGGCGGCATTATGTTCGACCGCCGCCCCCTCGGGAATCACGTCTCCGGAAGCCTGATCTCGATCCCCCCGCCAACAACGTCTCAAAGGTTGAGAAAGGCAAAGGAGATGGAGTACCACACCAGGCCGGAGTAGAAAGGTGAGCAGCGGAGTAAAGTCCAAACGCTCTCCTGAGCAGCGGTGTAGAATCTGAATATCTTCCTGAGTGGGAAAAAATCGGTATCCTTATTCCTTCATCTCGAGACAACAACAACGGCAAGTCAGTACAATCTCGCTCAGCAAGGGAAAGCCTAAGGAAGGGTTCATGGCTTAACCGACGAAGGCGACACCATGTAACCTTAAGGCCGCGGGCCTCAAACATGAGGGATATCGATGGATGAGATGAAGGGAAATAGGCGATGGACAGCATAACCGATGGCCCCATTAATACCCTTGAAAGACGTATCAGCAGGCACAATCAATGCGTTCTTTTGGGAACTGAATCGGCAGCGATATTGCCGCCCTGAAGAATCAGAATCTGCAGTACATTGAATGACGCTGAAAAGATGAACCGACGGGATGCCTCAGTCATCATTAAGGCTTGCGTCATAAGTATGACGTCATTGCGGGAAAGTTAGAAGAGACGGTTATCAAGGTCGTTTCTAATTGTTTTACTCTAAAAAACGTGGGGACTATCTGCATACGGTAAAATCGGAGGGTCTAATTTTCAGCCATTACAACGCCTCGGGAGCGAGGTTTCCAAAGGCTCGAGGCCACGGTCGAATCTTACCCCGAGGGGACATCAGTGTCCATCCTCGAGGTAACGCAAATCGATGGTTATGGTGGAACGGTGGGAATTTCCCTAGGCGCATGGCTAGGACTGGCAAAATCTAAAGGTCTAGCTCTGACCCGTATCAAGACATTAGGTGGCTATACCTGCCCCATATCTTTGTAATTAATGCTTTTGTACTATGTTCCCCCTCATATAAAAAGGGGATCCTTGTCATTTTGTAGAGATCGGTTGCTCCATCCAAAAATATACAAGAACACTCTCTCTCTCTCTCTAACACTTTTTCTTGAGTTCATTACTTCATTTATTGCTTGCATTCATTGTGTTCTATCTAATGTTCATCATTTATTGCTTATTATTGGCCATAAATAGCCGCCTTTGATTTCATTATATCTGTTAGTCGCCCATCGATTATCCTTGATAGCTCCCAGCCGAGCCTCAGACCCGACCTCGGAGCCCGGAATAAGCAAGCCCGAGGCCCCGATTATTAACCATTCGGTTCGATTATCACCTTGCTCTCAAGCTATAATCTTGTTTCTAAGTCTTTCACATAGCATCAACTGCTTAACAACCGGCATAAAAATAGATCACGTATTTTTAGAATCCCATAATCAAATTTAATTGTTATTACCATTTTCACGGTAAACATCTCCAATTTATGTTTTGTGAAAATTCTGTTTTTCTTTTCGCCTTATGATAATTTTGATACACTTGATACCTTGTGAGAATTTTGACTCACTTCGTTGCCTTGCAAAAATTTTGTTTATAAATCCGAAACTTAGGCGACTTGATCGAAGTCGGACAAATATAGTCTCTATAATCGAGTGAGTACTTGCTAGAGCTTGAAGTAGAAAAAACCCTTAGGTTTTAGTTGAGTGAGGGTGGATTCTCGAACTCAAAAGTATAATGGCCCTTAGGCTCTTGAATTGGGCCGATATGGCCTCAAAAGAGTGGCTTCTTCCCTTTTCGGCTTAAAAAGTTTAATCATATAAATTTGTTATGCCTTAGCACGAGATAAATCTATACCCATTAGGATTCAGTATTATCGAAAACCTTTTACTTTTTTATGCCTTAGCATAGGCTTGTTCGAGAGTTCGAACAATTTAGTACCCCTTAAGGTTTTTGAGGGTTGGTGTTATCGAAACCCTTTGTAACTATGCCGAGGGTAGCCTTTTTTAACCGGTTTTATGAAATATTTGAAGGCCTATTTTGTTATGGAATTCGGACGTCTCCGAACCGTGTTAGTTTGACCGTAGCCTTTAACTTGAGTTTTGCCCTTTGGGCTTGTTTCTTGATTATACTTAGAAGTGTCAGTCCCCGAGTAGGGTGGCCGTGCCCTATTAAACTGAGGATTGCCTATTCAAGGTCTTATGGTCTCGAAGTTTAATAATTCGAACATGTCGATTTTTGGATGGCAGTCCTCGAGTACGGGGTTGATAGTTCGAGCTTCAGTTGCGATCGGCACTTGAGCCAGTTTCCGCAATAGATCATATTTAAAGTAGAAATTATAAAGTAGAGATTTCACTAAGGCATGGAACATCCGGTAAGGAAAAAATACTTCTTTCAATAGATCATTCATGCGTACGTGTTTTGCCATCGGGGCTCGAGTAATCTACAAAGACACG